ATGAAGGGAGCAGTTTTCCAACTTGCTCTAAGCCTGAAATCAGATTCACAGGTAACAGCTTCTTTTGGAACAGATGCCTTCCTGTTCCTGAATGCAGGGACCCTAACCCCACCCCTCCCCCTCCACAGTCATAACATTTCAGTAGCAATTACAGCAGCTATTCATGTAGTAAGAAAACATTTAGCTATTTTTTCATGCAATGTAGTAGGTGAGAAAACAGTAAGTGACCAATTGGCTGTCTGAAGCGCTCCAGAGATTACAGTTTTGAAAACACTGAACACAAAGCTAATTCATCATATCGATTTTCATTTTTGCCCTTACCATGGATCTTCAGCACCTAGTTTTTCCTTTGTTGTGAACAGTTCAATGCAATCTTTTAATTTCACATAGGGTTTTTTCGGAGGTTTATATTCCACACTTTCATGTTTTTCAAAGTCCTAAAGAGAAGTATTTCTTGAGTTAAGAGAACAAATGAAACAAAACTCATTTTAGTGATATCGTCTTACTATGAACAGTAACTACAAGCTCCTAAATATGGAAAGTTTGCAAACATGTTGAAGTGAAAATTAATTTTAGAACTTCCAGACTTATTTTCCCGAATTAGGGAGCCTTAAGTCTCCTTGCTAGATGCAGAAAATTTCTCACGTGGAGACATATTTAGTCTGAACATATGTTTTAATAAAAACCATGCTGTACCTTAATGCTTTCTTTAAATGTTTCTACAGAAGTACACTTCATACAGTAATTCATTAAACCCAAATATGCCTGGCACGCTAAAAGTTTGGTAATGGTGAAAAGGCTGAGGAATATAAACGGCTTACCTCAGCTGCATTATCATCAAAGTATCTTTTTTTCAATTCAGGATCCCAATCCAAGGCAAGGAAAGATCTTTCTAAGATGAAAAAAAAAACATATTTCCTGCTTAAAACTACAAATTATTTCTTCATCAGAATATGCTTAATTTAGATGAAATATTAATCAAAATGAGTTGAAGTAACTATTAGCAAAATTTTTTAAAAAGAGACAAAAAACAGCTTTAATTTAAATACTTGGAAGCTTTGTGTTTGAGATTAACAGCTTTCAACCGTCAAGATAAATATTCTTTGGCAGTAATTAGACATGATTTATGCCGTCTTCAAGAAAATATCCAAGCACACACTGGTGCATATATCTGCACTGAGAGGGGAACACTTTTACCAGATGAAAAGAACTAAGTTGTTTACAGCAAGTGGCATCAGAAAAAAAAAGACAAAACAATCAAATTTAGCTAGTGTACTCCCCACTTACCATCAAGCCTAGATTGCCTATCCTCAAATCTAATGTGCCTGGTATCATCTTTAATATAATTGATGTCAGTATTGCCTAAATTATTGAACTGGAATGTAAACAATCTTTTTTTGTGCCCCGTGAGTGGTTGTCCTTTGCAAGTGTCCTCAGTACATAATCCATTTTCAGAATCATTGTCGCCTCCAACTGAGTCTTCTGACTGGCTGTTTTCATTCTCTGAAGGAAGTTCCTGATCCTGGCTGGATTCATCATCTTGTTCATCTGTCTCCATTTCACCTGAGAAAAAAATACAGCTGTCATGAAAAAACTTGACAACTCACCCATTTCCATACCATTTAAAATGCCTTATTTATTTACATGAATTTGAATGGTCACAAGCAAGACTTAATCTGAAAGTAATGTACTTGTTTGCCTCAACAGTACTTTCATGGCATTTCAGCTTCCTGTTAAGTTCCTCATACAATCATTGGTTATACAGTTGTATACAATTACTCACAGACTGGAGAGGACTGCATCCCTTTTCCCTCTCTCCCTCCATATTTTTAGCTTTCATTTCCCTGTTCAAGCAATATTCTCTCAGCTCCCCAAACTATGTGAAGACTTGAACTTTTAAAGAAAATCAAGACAAAAGTAGTATTTTTGTCTTTTGAAACTAGGCTTCCAAAAACCAACTAGACGTCCAACTGGCAAAAGGGAATCCAATGCTAAGATAAGTTTAATTCCTAGCAAACAGGTCAAACTCCTGTTCTATTTCTAGTAAGTCTCTTGTAATAACTGTCAATTGACAAACTATTTTACTGTCAGACTTAAAAGGAAAAAAAAACCCACTCCTGTTGAGTTTAGTATAATTATATGCCTGAAGCTCTTACCCTATTGAAAATAAAGTTCAAATGTCAAGGCTTTTAAAAAATAAAACAAAAAAATCCACCTTAATATTTAAATTTGGGGTCAGTTAAGTAGCATGACATTTTACTGCCACTTGTTGAGACAAATTTAGCCAGTAAGAACTAGAAGTACTTCAATGAGTGACCCTCATCAGTTTGTAGCTTGTACACTAGCCGGCAGTGATGTGGTCAGACCCTGGAGGGGGCGGGATATGTCAAGCCAGTCTGGGCTACAAAGAAGGCTGTCAAAGTAAGTTGCTTTTTAAATTGTGTTTCAAACGAAATGCAAAATATTAAACCAGGGACACAGACACATGTGCCTTACTTGGGGATCCTTCTTCATGTATCCCATTTGGGCCATTACCATTGATACCATGGTCTTTACAGCAATGTAGGGATCCATCAGTGTCTTCACTTTCAGTACCTGTTTTTACATATCGGCTAAAAACAAAACAAAAATAAGTGCTTTTATCAATGAGGTTTTTGATTAATATCTGGATAGTTTAATTATGAACAGTGAAAAACAGCAGGCACTAGAAATATTCTTACTACATACTGTACTCTGATAGCACTTCACTAACTATTCTAAAGTACCTTGACTTTAGAATTTACTGCTGAAAGATTGAGAGAGATTCTTCAACTCATTTCTTTTGCTCTTTTCTGGCAAAATCATTTGATTATGTCTAGCTTCTTTTGCTCTATACTGGTTTATGTTTAATGAGATAGCAATCACATTTTTATTACATAGCCCATAAACATATACATGAAACTGAGCTGTTTTTCTAAGCTAGTCTAGACAGAGAAGTTATACTAATATAAGGGTATTGTGTGAATTCAAACTTACGGTTATAACAGCATAATTATCAGTGTGGGCACTTTTTCCAGTCAAGTTATGCTGTTCAGAAGAAGTAAATTAAACAATACCCAAAAGTGCTCTTACTTTTATTCTAGAATAAGAATATCCACTGGTATAAGTACAGTGTTTAACCATACTGGTATAACTGGTGAAACTTTCCTATGTGGCTATACCATAATATACCATTATTTTAATCAAAATGTCAACCTTCCTGCCCACCACATGCCCAACCTGGGGCACTTTTTTGATAAGGTTATGTCAACAAAATCTAATTGAATCACAAACTAGTTTAGACTAAGAGGTTAAAACATGAGAAGTAAAATAACTATGCTTACTTTCTGTAAAATAATTGTTGAAAGTCTAATCAGCTCATTGGCAAAGCATATTAATAACAGCCATACACAGAATCTGGTTGTTCATACTGATGACATTCAACTTTTTCTTTAAGCAATATTCTTACCACATTCTTAACAGCAGAAGGTTGTACAGTTTATCTTCAGTATTGTTTCTAGGCACTGCTATAAGAAAAGGTTGACCAAACAGTGAAGAACCACTATGGTGGCTGTAACCAGTGTGTCTGTACTTTTCCCTTAAACAAACTGGAATTATTACTTGCTCAGTATCCTCTGTTCTGTTGATGGCAATTTCAAACCTAAAATAGTAGAAAAGCAGAAAGAAAGGTCATTTAGAAAATCATGACAAAACCAAGATCTCTCTATTACATGTTCCTGCTGTGCCAGGAAGTGGCTTAGCTCAAACTAATGCCAACAGCACACAACTATATAGTTAATAGAAAGGTATTTTCTTGACTAGTCACCACAAAAGTATATTACTTGTACTTACACATAGATGTCATCGCGTTCCATAATACTACTCAGATTTTCATCCATGGCAAATATTCGGTGAAACCTATGATTGTATATATCAGTAACTATCATCTACAAGAAAATGAAATTTAAATTACTATTAAATTTAACACTGAAAGTACTTATACACAGCCCAATATTAAGCAAGGAACTCCAATGTCTTACCTTATCTGCAGCAACACCAGACAAAGCTGACAGGGCTGTGCAAAGGTCCGTTATATTTCCAATTTTTGGAACAACTACTTTGTACTAAAAATAAAATAACAACTTATCATCCTTAAAGTATTGGAGATGTATGAACGAAATGACTTGTCAGATGTTCAGCTTCTACATAGATTTAACACACTTCTTCAGCCCCTTAGATTCTCACTGTCTGCAGTATTTACAATGAGACTTAACATTAAAAATGACTGAAAACTTAATCACAAAAAAAATCAATATCTTTGAAACTGACTAGCTTTAAATGTAGAATGTTTTAAAGTAGAATTTTTTTTAAACAAAATTCCTTCATTAATCAGGTAACTATAGTTGAGTGCTAAAAGCTATATAATTCAAACAATTAAATTTGCCAAGATTGTTTTAGTATTGGAAAGAACAGATAAAGGAATACAAGCAGTTCTGTTAACATCACAGAAATCAATAATATAAACAGAGAAAAATAAATCATGTACCTGCATAGGTTTAGCAAGTGGATCCATTCTAACTAAATAAACTTCCAAAGTGCGCTCTTTTTTCATGGGTAATGGAAGTGTCAGGTAACAAAAGGGATCGAAGGTTACTGAAATCTTCGCACATTCAGGACAAACTAGAGTGGATTTAAAAAGGCCATGAAATATATCTACAATGATGGAATCATTTCTTTTTAGATGGTTTTCCCAGGCTTCTTCAGCAACCACCTAAAAGTGAAGCAAAACCTAGGTTATAGTTGCATTACAAAAAACACATTACAAGAGCTGAATCAGAAAAAAAAAATCAAAACAACTGATAGCAGCAACTACACACTTGGACACACCTGAATGTTAAACACTAAAAACACCAAAACATAAACACTAAAAACACAAACTGAGAATCCAGTTCCTGTATATGTAACTTATAATTTAACTTGTCCAAGATGCTTCATATGGCTGAGTAAATGGATAAAAGGAGGTATAATATCTCAAACCACAGTGGAAATTGTATAGAGAACTACAATCTACATGCATGTAACTTATCTGGGGAAATTCTTCAGTCCTAAGTATACTGGGAGAAGCTGGACAAGTATAGTAAAAACAAAACAAACAAACAAACAAACAAAAAAACCACACAAAGTAAAAGATCAAGTGGGTCAGGAAGAGTTGCTTCCCCAGCTGATCAACCAAAGATATCTCAAGCAGGTATAATGAAAGTAGTATTACTTGCAAATAGTCCTCATGGAGCCCTGGACATGTTCTCTCTTTTCACAGTAAATAGAAATTGTGCAAGTTAAAGACAGACTAGAAAATATCCTGAATTTCCATATCCCTAAATTCTCTTCCACAGAAGAAGTAATCCCCTAAGCAGCACTAAAAGGATGAATGCCTTAGTGTCTTACAACTTACCGTAACACTAAATAATAAACTAAAACTAAAAAACCTCCCAAACACCAAGTATCTTACCTTGTCTGGCCTCCCATCTGCATCCTTTAATTGAATATAAGGCTTTTTCCTAATCCGATTCAAATCCTCATGTAAACCATCTAAGAGAAAAGCTAAGAGTTCTTGACAATCCTGTTGCTGATATCCAGAAAACTGAGGTGCAAATCGTCCTACTTGTGTCTAAAAAGAACAAATAATAATTCTGTTTTGGAAATTTAACACATTTGATTTCAAGTAAACTAACATATAGCATAGAGCCATTAACTTTGTACAATAGTTAGAAATTAATACTCTAAATTTGTATGTTTTATTTTATAGCTACTACTTGGATGCTGCGGCAGAAATGTTACAAAGGTGAAAACAGACAGAGAGAAACTTCTGCAGAGGGTATCTTTGTAGTTAACCTGAGCATCTGGTTCTATTCTCAGTTCTTCCATAGATCTCCTGTAAGATTTTGGGCTACTCACCTAACTTCTCACACCTCTCTCTGGTTTCTCAGAAACAGACTTAAAGATCATTAAACCAGATGAAGAATGAGAAAGTAATAAAAGTGCAAGGTCTCTATAGATATTGTATTTCCGAAGTGTTGTTCTGAGGCTGGCAATCAGACCTCCATACTCCTGCTCGGGGCTGCAATTCCAGCCAAGAGTAGGAAAAAACAGAGGTGCTGGCTAGGGATGGGAAGGTAGAGATGGCATAAAACACATCCTACCCCCCCACCTGCTTCCCCCATCAGAAAGGACAATGATGGAGCTCTGGCAACAATTAAAAGTTTCCTTAATCTGTAAAAACATTTGTTAATTGTGGGACTAGTTCACTTCAGGACGGAAGTGCCCTACTGATGCTCAGACTGATGGTGTCAGTGTCAGAATCAAGCAAGTCCAATAAAAGTAAAAAAAACAATCCTCATACCTATAATCTGAAACATAAACGGACTATAAATGAGACACAAATGCAAGGAAGAAAATGTTTTTAGAAGGAGTTGCAAAAAAACCCCCCCAAAACCCCCCAACACCCGACTAAAAACATAAAAGGGAATATAAAGTACAAAAGAACTAACCAAAAGGAAGTGGGAATTAAAAAAAAAATAAAACAGTATATTTACTAACAGTAACCAAAAAATAAAACAATACAGCACTAATTTTAAAGAAAGAAAAAAACTTATAAAATGACTCCTTTGAATGGAGTAGTTCCTTATTTCAAGTACTATGCAGAGTTTAGATTATTTTAAAGAGAACTACACACACAGAAAATAGATCATTAAGCCCAAATAACATAAATTGCTCAAACAAATTAAAGAAAAATGTTTAATTATGACAGGACAGAACATAAAATTCTGATTTGATAAAATTTGTTTAGAGTAAGTCAAACAAAACATCACAATGTTCCAATATGAAAGGACAGATTTTGTATTTATAAGAAATTAGGCAGCTGAACATTTGGGGGAAAGAAAAAAAAATTAGAAGATGATCAAATTCAGGACATGAGAACAGCCATACTGGGTCAAACTAAGATGCCATCTAGCCCAGCATCTTGTCTTTTACAATGGCAAGCAGCATATATGTTAGAGGAGTGGATTGCCTAAATTTCAAATTCCTATTATACTAAATTGTTGCATATTTCCTACACTTAAGCTGTGAAAAACTGACTGGTGTTCAGATTATACTTAAATACTGACCTTAAACGCCCTTGGTGTGACATAGCTGTATTTTCCTGACCACATTTGCTTGATGAGCTCTGCATAAGATTTTGCAATTTCACCTCTCATTCCTAAAGGATTGTCAAAATTCAGTTCTTCCTGATACTTATCATTGAGGAAGTATTCTGTAAGTGGAGGGGTGTTGCTCAGACACTGTGAATGGAAACATTATATTACTTAAAGATACAACCAAAGAGTTATTTTAACAAGCTATGTAAAAATGCTCAATCTTTAAAGCAACCATTTTTCTGAAAGTTAAATACAAATATTTTATTGTTGAATTGGACTGAATTGTAGTCTGCAGGAAATAGTACAGCATACTGTTAAGATAACTACATTTCCTACACAGACAAATAATAGTTTAAAATCAATACCAGTTGCTCTAGTGGCAGTTGTCATCACAAATACTAAGAATGGGCTTTGAAAAGTTTCACATTTAGAATATAGGAAACAAGCTGTATGTTCCAAGAACAAGCCTAACTAAAGCTTAAATATTGCTGTCAACCAACCCCAGAAAAACACATTGCAAAATGTTTAGCTATAAGCTCATATAAAAAAAATGAAAAGGCCAATACTAACTAGCTTATTTACACCAAAGAATTAAGGCTATTTTGACATGCCCATTAATACAGATAAGTATTCTGTCATTACTTCTCTAGGTTTTAGATGGGTATTTAGGCAAATTATATTTAGACTTGAGTATCATTTGGCTCCAGGGGCCCAATATTATGGCCAATGGTTTTATTCAAAATTAAAAGAAAATCTGCTGAAATATCCACTGAAAAAAACAGAGACATGGCTTCCCACCGTACTTCTCATTGGATGTTTATTGTCCTTCAATCGGTTTGCTTCAAAATGCTAGCCTTTGATTTATATCCACTGTGCCATTTAAGCCCTGGTCATCAAATGTAAACATTTCTGGTGCTTTACAAAACCCAGTTTCTCTCAATGGGATTTGTATCAGATTTTAATCTAACCTAGAATCCCCTGTAGATTACATAAGCAGCTCACAAAATACTCAAAGACTTTATATGATGTCAAATGTCCAGTGAGCAAGCATGAATTAATTCCTCTACCACCAATTATAGAGATATCAGAACATAACCGCTGAAACACCATTTATAAACTCCTTAGCATTCAGTTTTTTTCCTTCAACTGGCTCAGTACCATCTTCACACTCTGTTTTCATACATTTAATCCCCATACCACTTTCTAAGACTTATGTCTTCTCAGCTCAAATATAACCCACATGTCATACGATTCCACTTCCCAGACCAAAAGAAAAGGAGTACTATTATCTCCTTTATACTGTAACAGATTTTCTGTATTCCCCTTATAAGAAGCAGGAAAGGGTGCCATAAAGAATAAAGCATGATGGGAAGGGCAGAAGGGGAGAAGTACACTATTACATTATTACAGAAGAACACTAAAAAGGAAAGGTGGAGGAAAAAAAATTCAGTCCAACAACTGTTCTCTCTCCTTTCATGCTTATTCTATTTGAGACATACCAGAAAATTGTTGCAAGTTTCCTATGTGCAATCTTAGATTAACAAAGCATGCCATTTTTTTCTCTTCCCCACTTAATTTTGTAGCTACAAGTTTCGAATTAGCAAAAAGAGTTCCTATTAAAAGTATTATGAAAAATATACATATTTAAATTATTCAATTTAACTACCCTAAAGTTTCCTATTTAGCTTGGCCCTTAAGTAATTACAATTTCACAATAGGATTTGATAAACATATGCTTCTTAAAGTGATTAGAAACTGAAGTCTACCTAAACTTAATATTACCATGAGAAAAAAGATGGTTGCATACTGCAGCCAATTGAGAAGGAAGTCTATATTTTGCATTTGCTCCCTTATTAGTATGTCAACAACAGAGCAGTACCTGAGTCTCCAATAAAAGCTAGAATGCATATTATAATTATAATTTGGGCAAAATAAGAACAGAGGTAAATTCTATAAAAGCAGCTGATGTTAGATGAAGTAGCTAAATAAAAATAGGCACCTAGTTCCAAATAAAAGCTAAGAAAATATATTCATTAGACTTACAGATACTCCCATTCCTCCCTCCTCCTCCCACCCCCTCCAAAAAAAAGCTCAGGGCAACTTACACTAAGAAAGAAAAACAATTGTAGGAACAGAATAAAATATTAAAATGAAAACAAAAAACTTTTCCCTCCCACCCTGGGGGAAGGAGAGGGAAGGAAAAGTACATATATAAATAAAAATCAACCAACAAACCAAAAACAACGTAAAGAAATCCAGCCCCCATCCAACTTCTGCCTCTGATCAAAGAGACCATATCCAGTCTACTGAACTCAGACTCGCTTCCCAAACCGTGTTCAATACCTCCATAAAAGAAAACAAGCATTTCCCCATTTCTACCCACTTCCATGTAGGGTTATAACAACTAGTCTCCAGACCAAGGAAAAGAAACCATGTATACAATACTTAGAGAGCAGAGTCTAAAAATAATAAGGGACTACCTACCTACCCACATATAAACTGATTAAATGACAAAGGCACACTGTGTACTGAAATTTTTTTTGACATTAAAGTGAATATTTCTTAGAAGAGTTAGTTATAGATTACATGGGGGGAAAAAAGCTTAATTTAGTCTTAATTTACCACAGAAGCTAATTCAGGAAGTGAATAGTGCCTTCCATTGAAGGTATGACGGGATCTGATCTGGGACCCCAACAATCACACTTCCTGCCATGCTACAGGTGCATGGCAAGAGGTATGACTGTGGGATTGGGGATCAGATGCAAATTGTGCCTCATTGCCAGTATAGGAGCCCAGCAGGGAGCAAGTTAGGTGGCCCAGCTCGGAGCGCCAGTCAGCACCTGGCCTGGCCACACATTTAATTTAAGGTGCGGTAGGAACCAGCCACAAAGTTATTACAATATTTTAAGTTATAACTTTGTGGCTTTTCCCTATTTTATCACACCATTAATTGCATTGCTAGGTTATTACTAAAAACATGATTAAATGGTTAAGTGATGTTTTAAGTGTAATGTCTGCCAGAGGCCTAAAATAAAGGATCAAGTATCAATTAGTGATACTAAGCTTTAGAAAGATATTTCAAGATAAAAGGTTAATTAAAAAGAACCTACAAGTTCAAAAGGAAACAGAAACCTTAGACAAAACAGATTAAATTTAAAGAATATGCATATGACCAAACAAGAAAAAAAATAGAAAGGCAAATATAAAACCAAAATGGTTAAAAGGCAGAACTTACAATGCTATTCAAGCCATACAGAAATCCTTCAAAATTTGCTAACAACAGAGCAGAACAGCCAAATGATAACTGTGAGCTATAATGTAATTTAGAATTCCAAGAGGTCCCTGAAAAAATTCTTGTACAGACACTAAGTAGTTAGGGAAGAAGAGGCTAAATAGTATAATGAATCAAATACTGGCTACAGAGAAAGCAAGGGAACTGGATTAACTGGTCAATTCTCAAGGCAAAATGTTACCCATGGGGTGATTCAAGGTTTGGGATTAGGTTCCATGTATTTCAATGCATTACTTAGAAAAGGGACAAGTACTGAGGTAGCAAAGTCTGCATACGATCATTATTTAGGTTAATCGGGACCAAAAATCATGAAGACCTTCTGAAAAAATGACACGAAAGGTGAATGGGCAACATGTTGGCCAATAGTATTGCTGTATCATTATACTAATGTATACTTGTTAAACGTATACATGTTTAGACTAATAACTAAACCTTAAATGATTCCAAGTTAAGGGTAACAACTCAAGAAAGTGACCTGGGCATTACCACAGGCAGCTCAATGAAGATCTCTATTCAATATGCAACTGCAGTCAAGGAAGTAGGCAAGACATTTAGCTGCACAAGGGACTGAATGCTGAATACAGATAGTTATAATACCTTTCTATAAAAATCAATGCTGCAGCCTTATCTGGAATAATTTGTTGAGTACCATCATAGCATTCTGAACATGAAAAGGGGGAAATATGATCAAATGAATGGAGAAGGTAGTACAAGCACTAGTGATGTTGTAGCCATGCTACTCCAGAACTTATGTGATAGTTAAGGATTTCTTAGGGTGATATCTTTTATTGGACCAACTCTGTAGTTGGGATAAAGTTAGACAACCTTTCAAATACAAGACATTCATAAGAATGGAGAAGATAGAGATTAGAGATTTTCCAGCAACAACAAGCAAAAAAAGAAGAAATATGCTTTTGTAATTTTCTGTATGCAACTGATCCACATAACTTGGAAATCAAGGTTTTACAGTGGCATGCCAGATCAACCTGGCTTGGTTCTGTCTGAGGCAGGCGGGTGTTTCTGACATGACCTTTGATTCTGCTGCTACTTCCCCCTGACACCATTTTGCAAAGCCTGCTTCTCCTGCAACTGCATGGTGCAGGAGGCTGCAGGGAGGCTTCATCTGTGTCACACGGCTGGGCAGCAAAAGGAAGCAGTGGCAGGAAGCAGCTGCGCTGGAAGCTCTGTGGGCCAGATCCAAAGGTTTCATAGGCTGTGTAGTACCAACTCCTGACTTTACTCCATGTCATAATGAACGGGACCAAGAAGTTGAGACTGAAAAAGGAGATGAATAATTCTAATAGTATAAAAGCCTTAGTCTGTAACTCTTTATTCCAACTCTGATTGGTTGTCTCAGCAGCCAATCACAATGCTTACTGAAACAACCAATCAGAGTGCTCTTCACTGACAGACGCGCCGCCATGACAGTGGGGACTGAGGGGCTGGAGCAGGGGGGTGACGCTGTGCCCCCCCCCAGTCCCCGCTGTCATGGCAGTGCCGTCCCCCAGCAGGGTGGGGCAGGGAGGGCGGGGGGGCAAAACAGCCGTACTGGCCTTGACCCCCTCCCATAGTCCCTGCTGTCCCCCTCTGCCTCCAAGGACCAGGGTCACAGTGGGGGGGCAAGTCCAGCACCACTGGTCTCACCATCCCTGTTCCAGCCGCTCAGTCCCTGCTGTCATGGCAGCGCTCTCCCCACCATCCCCCAGCAGGGCCGGAGCAGGTAGGTGAGGGCAGCAGCACTGGCCTCGCCCCCCTTCTGGGCCCTGCTCCTTGGGCACAGAGTAGGATGAAGAGGAGGGGAAAGGGGCTGGATAAGAAGCAGGGGGCAGGGCCAAAGTGGGTGGGCAGGAGG